ATTTTACATCGTTCTGCGTTCTTTTCAGTGCTCACCTGCACACTTTACACAACGATATTCACGCTAGCAGTATCTTTGGTATTAGCAGTAGCATTGCGGGACGTAGTTAAATTTATTTGGCGGCTCGACCGTCTTTATTGAGGTGCATAACCGCTTGATTTGGAACGCTTCCTTAGTGTTTTTGGCTGGCTCCAGGCTAACGAAAAATATGTTTAGGGGTTTTTTGGTACTCCTTTGTGTGGAGTTATGTACGTCCCTGACTTTGTGCCCGAGGCCCGAGTGCCCGAGTCCCTCTTTGATATCTTCCAGATCAGTCGAGTAATGGAGGCCCTTGATGATCACCCGGTAGGAACGTTTATACTGTTGTATAAACACAACGTTTATACTGAACGCTTAGATTGATAACATTTCACTTTTAAACCCTTTTTAATTTCTTTTTTGCCTTCATGATCGCTCTCGGATCTGACCTATTTCTAATCAACCATGGGCTTTACTTGGCATGCTTAACAACGTAGCTTGAGATACATAATTCGCGATTTGATCTATCCAACTTCCAAAATGTTCCATATTTGCTTTTTTATTCAGAAACCTTTTTATTCTTAATAAACAATTTTTTTTACATTAGAATTTCACAATATTTGGCTTAACTATATTTTGTGACAATGTCCCTTGGAAGACTTTTATAAAAATCAGAAAATTGGATTTTTGAAAAATTCCCAAAAGTAACCAAAGTATAAAAAAGTAGAAAAAAAACTAAATATTTTTTTTTAGGAATCAAAAACCATCAACCACTTTTGTTAAAACTGAAGAAAATGTAAAACAAAATGTGATTTTAATATCAACTCAAAAAATATAATGTGGTTGGATAAATTATAAATTTTAAAAACCAAAAACAAAAACAGAAAACTTTATAAAACAGAAAAGGTAACCATAAAAGTTAGAAACCATTTTTTTTGTTTGTTATGAAAAAAAAAAAAAAAATTGAAAAAATATGTAAATAGTTTTAAATCAAAAAAAAAATCCAATATTAATAAAAAAATCCAAAGTCTTTCATAATGTATATCCCTTTTTTTGTGAAAAAGCTATAATCAGCCCTTGGGGAAACTTTATTCCAATTCAAAATAAAACTGATTTGGAAAATATTCAATTTTTCTAATTTTTACGATTGCTCTTTTAACCACAACAAGGTCACGCCTTCAATCCAATCAAGCGCCGCTTTTCAGCTTTCTGTTGGCCGTCGAAATACAACAAAAAAAGCCACCGTTAAAGCCGGGTCGAAAGTCAAGCGACAAAAAATTAAAAATAAATAATTGCCAAAGAATAAAGCTAGCAAGTTTGTTTAGAAATATAGATAGAAAATATAAAATAAAGAAATGAATGTTTGGATCGAAACGAAAACTGAATGTCCAGTTTAAAGGATAAAAAAAATAAAAGGATATAGTAAGACAATACTATTTAAGTCGAAGTGGCTTTAAATACTAATTTTTATTAAGTTTGAGCCTAGCTTTAGATTTTTAAGAGTTAGAAGCTGAAAAGTTAGCGGACATGCGGACAACTTAGCGGACAATGTTAGAAAAAGGGCAAAAATGATTGAAAACTAAACCTTTAGAAATATATATGCATAAACTAAAAGATAATTTAAGTTTTAACCTTTCAAATAATATTAATGAAATCCAAAAACCTCAAATGTAGGGTATCAAGAAGAGCAAAAATAAAAAAAGAAGGGAATAGGCAGCTGCTAATCACATTTTTTCTAGTTGTCAATAGAACTCGTACTTATGAATCTTGCAGATACGAGAAAAAGGGGAAGGGGCTATGTAGTTGAATGAATGCCACTTAAGTGCCATTATAAAACAACGATTTGCAATATACAAGTCATGATTACAGTTATCTTTCCATAGGAAACCGGTTTATTTACAAAGAATTGGATGAACCTTACTGCTCTAGAAGGTGACGATATTCTGCCAGGAGTTGTTCTTCCAGAACCAATGGCAAATCCAAATAGTCCTGATCATTCTGGTTAATGTCCGAGTTGAAACTCTGATAGGCCTGCATGGTATCTATCTCTTCTTGAGCTCGAAGTAGAACTGAGTTCATAATTGGCGATAATAGCGGCGACATTGAACGTAAGCTTGAGCTGGAGGGCTCATTCTCTTGCATTGATAGATTTCGGATTCGATCCATGGTTTCCTTGAGCTCCTCTTCAGTTTGGAAGGAGCGTAGCAAAAATTCAATGGCTTTCTCCACATCATTGTCGGGGCTTTCGAGGGCTGCCCGTACGGCGGTCTCTTCAAAGCCAAAACGGAGGAGATGCTTCAGCTGATCGTCATCAGCTCATCACGTCATGATCGCAGAGACACTGGTTATGGGCAAGGCAGACACCAGATCATCGAACTGGGTCTGCAGGAGTTCCACCGCTTGTGGCACATCGTTGTTGCTTCTTTGCAGCGCCAATTTGGCCAACCGACGATCGAAACCCATTTCGGTGAGTGTGCAGATGCTCCTGGGATTCATCCAATCGCAGTCCGTTTTCTTGGATCTATTGTTCTTCCTCTGATTTGGATTGTTTCCGGGCATTGTTTAGCTGCTGCCGACGCTGCTGGATGAACTGAATAGCCTGGCCGACATCACGGGCACCGAAACAGGACCGGAGAGCCAGCCGGAACTCGCTTAGCTCGAAGCCCATCTCCATCAGCGTGGTTAAGTCGTTCTCGTTGACTTTCAGTTCCCCTAATAAAGCAGAAGCCTGTTCGAAGCGTTCAAAGGCCTTGTCTTCTATTACGAATTAAACGATTCCAACTTTCTCGAGCAACTTTCTTAGTTAAATACAAATTTTGGATAGCGGCCATTTATAAAATTTTTTGAATACTTTAAAAGAAAATTGAATAGCCTCGGCGATGCAAGGCCCCACTAACAATAAATTTAATTAGTGGAGATGTGTGTGCTTATTAAATTCTCTTCTGCTCACATTTTATTTGGCACTTAGACTAAAAAATGATAGGTATCTTTTTAAAAATTATACACTTTACAAAAGTTTTCAACACTGGATAAGCCAGGTAGATAACTCTCAGATCTGCAGCGCATTTCTTATTGACTGTTTAGATTCAAAATAAATTATCCTTCTTAACATCTGGGTCAAAGAAAAGAGATATTCTGCACACAGGTGCCGCGTACTATTACGTTTATGTTACTTACTTTAGTAATCCAAGTGATCCGTTGTTTGTGCCAAAAGATCAGCAGTTCCCTTATCAGTATTTGCCGATGAGTTTTCCAAAGTAAGCAGCGACAGGAAAAGACATGTTGAGTCATTTAGCCATTTATTTCTATTTAAAATTCCATTTGCTATTCTATTTGAAAGATGCTTTGTATAGCAATGTGGATGTGTTCAATCGAATGGATATTTCCATGGCACGCAGGAGTCAACGAATAAATTTCAAGTGTAATAAATTGTAAGCCGATATATATATCTGGACATGCCAGTATTTCGGACCAATCAAATTCAATAATAAACTTATTTAGTTTAAACAAGAAAGAAAAGCTAACTTTGAGCGGAGCCGAAGTTGATATACCCTTGCAGCTAAAACCGGATATTATCGCAAACATCGGATATAGTTGGCCGATCCTTATGAGAATATCAAAATAAAATCATTTAAATACAATAAAATATCTAAAAAAAATCCCAAACTTCTATCTTCAAAAAAAAAAAAATGTTGGTATTTCTACCAAAAACCATTTTTGATCGTTCAGTTATATGGCAGCTTTAAGATATAGTCAGCCGATCGTTATAAAATTTGGTAGGTCGGATTATCTGACCAAAAATATAATCTCTACTAAGTTTCAGTTTTCTATCTTCAAAAACACGAAAGTTGGGTTATTTCCGATCGTTCAGTATTATGGTAGCTAAAGGATATAGTCGGCCGATCCTTATGAAATTTGGCATGTCGTAATATTGCCACAAATTGCTCTCATGTATAATTTGAACTCCCCAACTCAAAAAACACCAAAGTTATACCATTTCCGATCAATCAGTTATATAGAAGCTATAGGATAAAGTCCGCCGTTTTGACTTATATACTGCGTGCAAAGGAAAGAAGGGTGTGTGCAAAGTTTCAAGTCGATAGCTTCAAAACTGAGAGTCTAGTTTGCGTAGAAACAGACAGACGGACATGCTACCATCGTGATAGGGATGGTAAATTATTAACACTAGATCATTTTATTTCTGGGATATTAAAGTCGGGTGACTTACAACCAGCTGGACATAATATTAAAAACGGATTGAATAGCAGAAAAATGGTGCAAGTATGTGGGCGGTTCGGCCGAAGCAGGTATGTACATATGTAGGTAACATGACTGTGCACGAAGGTGGAAAACCGTGAAAATACTATATATATTATTATATTATATATTATATTATATTATATTATTATTATATATATTACTAGTATTTTAAGAGCTAAAATTTAACTCTTCAGAGTTAAAATTTTTCTAATTGCGTCTGAGAATGAATGATTCAGAATGAGTCATATATCAAACGAAGGTGTTGCTCTAAGTAGATAATGTTAGGTTTTTTTATCAGTTTGGTTCAGCTCATTCGGAAAATTTTATAAAAAATTATAGAACTTTTACTCTGTTTCTGTATTTTTATAAAAAAAAAAAATATTTTTTGTTTTTGTTAAGAGTCTATACTATTTGTCAATTAAATTTAAAAAATGGTTAATATGGGGTGGAAGTGATAATTTGATTTATTTGACACGTCTAAGAAATAATAAATAACATACAGACATTAATAATACTTTATGTTGTGTAGTTCTATACACCTATATTAAATTTTTTCGTCACAAAAATGGCTGGGCGTGGCTGCGGCTTTGTCGCAGGTTTTTTATTTTGTCCCTATCTTATTTGACTTTACTTTCTAAGCTTATGATATGTAATGCTTTGTTTATAAAAATTAAACGAAATATTTAAATAAACCCTAATTTATGATTATTTTTATTTTGTAGCATCTAAAAACGATCTTGTTAGAATCATGACGACCAGTAATTATACCGGTTGGGAAAAATATAAATTTCGAGGACAATATCTAGGATATATTGCTAAAATAAAAATTTGTTCAAATGAAACCCAACAGAATTTTGAAAATAAATTATTTGAAACCAATACTGCGTGGTTTTCTCCTCTTCTTCGACTTATTTTCCATACACCAAGATTAAAAATAATAAATAAGTGCTCAAAGTTCACTTCAGTTTCGTCATTGAAAATTGCAAAAAAAAACTTGTTTCTTGCCATATTTCTTCTTTTTCTATCTGCTGAATTTGTGTATGGTCAAGAGAATGCTGAAAGCTACAGAAAGTTTTTAAATACCAGTGGAAGACCTCAATTAAACATGATAAGCTCAAATTATAACATAACTGCCATTTCCGAAAAAGATCGGATTGATAATAGCCCGCCTTTAAATGAATTCAAATTGCAAAATGAAGTGAATAGAAATATTAAAACAAGCGCTCAAAGCGTTTCAATAAACCGTAACGTTTTCCTGAATTTTGATAATATGCTACAACGACAATTACGAGAAAAAGCCAGGTTGGACAGTTTAGAGTCTATCAAAATGCACATACTTATGCGATTAAACCTTAAACAACTTCCAAATATAACAAAACCAATACCAGTACCGCAAAATATAATAGATAACTTTTATAAAGATTACAATTTATCTACTAAAAGTGTTTTATCAAACCGTGCATTAAATTCAGATGTGCGACGAAAAGCATCAGAAATTTTGTCACAAAATGCTAGCCAGATTCGCAGTGCAAACACCGACGATATTAAAGATAACGAATCTTCTCAGATGCAAGGGGATGATGCTTATACTGCAAATCAGTTCCCAAATATTTATAAAAGAGAATCCAACGAAAATTTAGACACTAAAAGAAAAATTCAAATATATAGTATAAATGATGATTATGAAGGTATTCTTTCACATATCACCAACATTTATATCTTTCCCGAACGTAAGTAAGCAAACTATTGTCAAAGTATATAAGAATATAAATTATATATACATTAAAATATTCTTTTTTTCTACATTCTTTAAAATGCCCATTTATAAGCTACGAACAATGACCTAAATAAAGAAGAAAGGAAAGCTAACTTCGGGCGGAGCCGAAGTTGATATACCCTTGCAGCTAAAACCGGATATATATCGCAAACATCGGATATAGTTGGCCGCTCCTTATGGGAATATGAATATATAATCCAATTTATTACAATACAAAATCTAAAAAAAGTCGCAAACTTCTATCTTCAAACATACCAAAGTTGGTATTTCTACCAAATACCATTTCCGATCGTTCAGTTATATGGCAGCTATTAGATATAGTCCTCCGATCGTTATGAACTTTGGTATAAAAATATAATCTGTACCAAGTTCCAGCTTTCTATCTTCAAAAACACGAAAGTTGGGTCATTTCCGATCGTTCAGTTATATGGCAGCTATAGGATATAGTCAGCCGATCCTTATGAAATTTGGCATGTCGTAATATTTTGCCAAAAATAGCTCTCATGTCAAATTTGAACTCTCTAACTCTAAAAACACCAAAGTTATACCATTTCCGATCAATCAGTTATATGGCAGCTATAGGATATAGTCGGCCGATCCCGGCCGTTCCGACTTATATACTGCGTGCAAAGGAAAGAAGGGTGTGTGCAAAGTTTCAAGTCGATAGCTTCAAAACTGAGAGACTAGTTTGCGTAGAAACAGACAGACGGACAGACGGACAGACGGACATGCTCATATCAACTCAGGAGGTGATCCTGATCAAGAATATATATACTTTATAGGGTCGGAGATGTCTCCTTCACTGCGTTGCACACTTTTGGACAAAATTATAATACCCTCTGCAAGGGTATAAAAATCAAAAACAATGATTATTCGTGATTTTTATTTTTCGATCAGAGAATAATGATTATTTTGTGAATTTTATTTTTCAATAGAATAATGACTTTTTCAGATTTTTATTTTTCGCTCGGAGAATTCTGATTTTTTTGTGATTTTTAAAATAAAACTCATAATGATTATGGTCCCTGAAAAAACTTTTAAAATAAACATTTTCTACAGATCGCACCACTTACCATAACTCTTTGTATATAGCTAAGACGTACAATAATCCAGTCCGACACTGTAGCCCTGCATAAAAATATACATTTTCATATACATACTTTCAATTTACTCAGTTACCGTTTTCTGTAAGCACCGTTAAGTTAACTTAAACCGACGGTGACCAAAACCCTATCACATTTGGTTGGAAATATCTCTACCCAGGCTTTGCCTGCACACCAACACTGTAAGTACTGTACGAGGGCAGTCCGAAAAGTTCTTAGCCTAACTATCGTGTAGTATATTCTAGCATGTCGAAATTTCAGCCGAATCGGAATCGTATTTTTGTTTTGAATGCGTGTTGAATCGGAAATGTTCGCAAATTTCAGAAAAATGGAGAAAGAGCAATATCGTTCTGTGATTCGATTCTTGTTTTTGGATTCTGTGTACGGTGACTCTTCTCCTTCGATGACGACCGTCAAAAATTGGTTCAACAAGTTTCAACGTCGCACGTCGATTTTTGATGGGACACACCCAGGTGTCCCAAAAACGGCTACCACGGAGGATAACGTGACAGAAATCCGCGATCTCGTATTGGCAGACCGCCGATTGAAGATGCGCGAGATAGCTCTCTCAGCTCTCTCTAGTATAAATCTTAATAGACCGCATGGGTAATATCCTGCATACAATTTTGGGCATGAGAAAGCTATCGGCGCAATGGGTGCCGCGTTTTCTCAGTGCAGTGTTTCAGAGCAGTGTTTGACGCTAATTAAGCGCAATCCGCAATTCACCAGAAAACAAGGAAGTTGCAACAGTGAACTTCACCCGGAAAACCTGCTTCGAAGAAGAGGAAGACTGTCTCATCGGCCGGAAAGGTGGTGGCCACCGTTTTTTGAGATTCACATGGTGTGATCTACATCGAATACCTGGAGAAGGGCAAAACGGTCACAGGGCTATACTATGCCGAATTATTGGGACGATTTGCCGCCAAATTGCGGAAAATACGGCCCCATTTGACGAAGAAAAAAGTGCTCTTCCATCGTGAACCAAATTGGTCGAATAAGACTAGGAACTGGTAACCCTCTACTATATTCTCTAGATTTGGCCCCTTCTGTGACTTTGGCCCCCTCTGTGTGACTTCTTTTTGTTTCCAAACTTAAAAAAGTCACTCGCTGGACAGAAATTTGCTTCAAATGAAGCAATGAAGCGTCGCCGCCAAAGATCTTTATTTTGCAGACCTCGGGAAACGTATTTTTCAGAAGGGTTAAAGAAGTTTGAGCATCGCTGGGTCAAGTGTATCGAGCTAAAAGGAGCTTATGTTAAGGACTAAATCGCCTCTTTTCCAAAATTTTTGTTTTTCTTTTGAAGGCTAAGTATTTATTGGACTACCTTCGTAAAACGACTATGAAAGGCCGTGTGCTTATGGGAGAATTCTACATATTAGAACACATATATACGGTTTCATAAAAGTGAAATTTGTATTGATTTTGAAATTTTTATTTAAGTTAGTTTCAATCATGCAATTCAAGTAAAATATGCGCAGTTTTGTTCGATAACTTGTTCCTAATGAGATGACACCTTCATAATTCCAAAAAACTTGGAGAGACAATTTTCACAGTGTTTTTTTGTGGCCAACTTTCGACTTCCAACTTTGGTGCGAGGTACTCGACGAGGTACCAATCGCCAAAAACGGATCGCTTTTGGTCGATGCTACGGCTGCAACTATGCCGGTCTCCCACGACCAATTCAGCGATTTTTTCGCAATTTTCACTTTGATCACCTCTACCCCAGCACAAAAACCTTTAAACCATCGATGTGCGGTTGAAATAGAAACGGGACCCCAAACTGCACACATTTTATTGGCAGATTGAGATGCCTTTGACGTAGCGGTATTGTAAAATATACCAGATTTTCTATTTATTTTGCTCCATGTTTGCGACGCTATAGCTCACGGGCGACTGAATCATACAACGAAAGCGTAAAAAGACGTTATCAACAAAATATAGTACAACATGGCGAGATGAATACAACTAGAACTATGCGTCTATTATGACTATTCTTTTATAGATTTTACTGGCGATCCGCCACTGGTACCAGGTCATCATTTTGCCATCGTCCAGCCTCCTAGTTAATATAAGGAGAAGGCGACACATATGGACTTCTAGAAGAAAGCAATCCATGGTAGTCGAACACGTCTTGAAATCACACGCACCTGTGAAAGCTAAGGCTGACCAAATTTAAGTTGCCAACTCCAAACATTAGTCCATTAACATATGGTAGCACTATACTGCTCGTGAGGATGCCCCAGGGCATGATGCCTTAGTTTTAAGCGCACCGAGCGCAGGGAGCAGGATGAGCAATAATGTACATTCACAATGATTGGTTTTTATACGATCTGCATTCACCCTTTTGATTATATAGTGGATTCGTATTCAAAGCCATGTTCACACTTTTGAGCCATTGCAACAAGAATTGAGCCATGGACTCCCACAATGAATTCAAAAGAATTATTTCACTAAGCGTTTGTAGTAGCTTCTGGCTGCATATAATCGTTGAATCGTTTAAATAATTTCCCTAAGCGTATTAGCGAAAGCTTGATAATACAAGCATGAAAGATTAAACGTAGATTATTAAGCAATTTCAAAAGGCCACATCATAATTGACGTCATTTATTTGCAACGCTCTCATGGTCTCCAGTCTTGAATCCCAAATACAAATAATGAGCCTGAGCTTCTCCATATAATTGGGTGAGGATAGCTGTCAATAGTTGTTTGAAACAGGGAGCAGAAATTCGGCCACTTGGCCCTCCTCTCAAAGGTGGCATCTTCAACAATTGAAAAGAGGGAGTAGGCTTTTTTAGCAATGGTGGAGCACTGACACTACCGGTGTCATCAAGAAGAGTGGAGTGTGCAGCGAGCATCATAAAACCAAGGGCTATGCTACTGCAGTAGTAATTGGTTTTGTTATTTTTACTGTACAGCTGTAATGAATTCGATTTTAAAATCGATTTTATGTTTTTTTTTCAGATTTTAGTTGAACAGAATCGATTCCCCAAAAGTAGAATCGTTGACAGCTTTATTATACTGCTCTCAATTTGATGACACCTGGAGCAGAGCTATAGCAATTTCTATAAATGTCTAAGATTAGGTAAGAGGTAAGAGGTTTAAGATTAAGTAATAGAGAACAACTAACACACAATGAGTAACTTCAATTGCTTCATCTTGCTTTCAAATTTGAACTCCTTTTATTTTAGCTCTGTTCCGGCTGTCATCAAAGTGAGAGCAATAGCAATAGCATAGCAACATTTTTGTGATTTTTTTTTGTTTCCACTTGGATTTTGACTTATACGTTAGTGCCTGCTGGGAGAACTTTCAGTTTTTTTAAGTAAAACCGGACGATTTTCCAAACCAGCGCCTTGGGTATCTTATGTGGATCTATTTCTGACACCTCCAAATTGTTGGTTAGGAATATATCACATACATTTGATAGTGTGAGAGACGGGAGGGCAGTAACATAAAAGATACTTGACTGATTTTTCCTTTTTTTAAGCTTTGGCAGTAGTCACGGGGCCATTGCCCAGTAATTGCTGTTATAGCTGTGGGTCCTTTCTATCTTAAAGGATTGGGATTTTATTTTCAAAAGTTGAGTTCTTTTTAGTTGAGTCTAGTGGTATACCAATACCCTCCATATCACCTTGGACCCGTTTGGTGGTACTAATACATGTAAATTTTTCTGTTATGCAGTTGTCAATTATATACCTGTGACCAGGAACCCAATGAGACTAATGCCCAATTGATGGGTAATCTTGTGAAGGGATATTTACGGCTGAGACCATTTTCGATTTACTGGGGTCGAGCTGATCGATTTAAAGCCGCTTGGCTGTCACTATATACATATGTCGACTTCGTTGTGTTT